AAGAATAATTGTAATTAAGCTAAATTTGCCATCTTCAGCATGCTGCTATTCTGTGCTGACTGGATCACCTTCCCAGCATATGTCAGCTCTCCTGGGAGTTCACCATGGCTGTGGAGATATTTATAATGTTAGCATACAGTTTTGGGCTACTTCATTGTATATTTGCACCATTGTACTAAATATCTGATGGAGAAACTCAACACAAGTAAATCTAATTGTTTATTGAAAATGTAAGTATATATTTTACTTTCACAGCTTGTGGCTGACTTTAAAAACCTTTCTTTCTTGAAGTTTGTTGAGTTCAAGGGTAACATCATGGTCAAAAAAGAAGTTTCAGGCTCCAGGGCACAGTCTTGACAGTTTTCCAGTAAAGATCTTAAGGGGATCATGATGCAACAGCCATGAAGGGAAGTTTCCAGTGTAAGCTGAGAGGAGAGGTGTAGAGACTGGAGACGGCTGGAGACACCGTGAACTCTAAAGGGAGTTTGTTAAAGTTTGTTATGTTTGTGAGTGGGAAGAGCCTGAGGTGTAAGTCATGGTCATTGCTACAAACAACAATTTCTTTGTTAATTAAAGAGGGCCTAAGAGGCATATCAGCTGGCTGAAAAATAACAATAACATCAAATTAAATATGACTTGGTCCAATGCGTTGTTAAATCAGGTGTGTCGAATTGTATATTTTGATTAGTTGTTGAAAGTGTAACTTTAATTTTCTTATCCAAGCACAGAAGTCACTGAAAATGATGTAATAATAGAAAATAATACATAATACTAAGAAAATAATAGGAAATGAAATATAAATGTGCCAAAATCATTTTACAGTAATTTAAGGTTGAGGATAATCATTGTTTAAACACACAGATATTTAAAATCATTGATTTAAAAATATAAGAATCATTCACAATCAACATCACATTAGTGGGTACATTCAAAAAACCTCCGTCATAATTCAGAATTTTTATTATTTCATTTTGAATTGTATCTCTTAGTTATTTATATTTTCTGAAAAAATGTGAGTAGCTGATATTCATAAAAAAAAATATCTGTGTGTAATTAACACACCTAAGGTATTGTGGATTACAGCACTTCTGTCCAAAACTACAAAATACTAATGTGTGAGTTACAGAGTTTTTCATTTGCCTATTTTGGAGAATAAAAAACAAACCCTGCATGTCTGTTAACATGATCAAATTCTAAATAAATATAAATAACAAAAAGGATGCACACTGGTGTACCTCCATTAGCATTAAATTCCTTCCCATGCTGACTGTGTTTTAGGACCACAATGCATTATATTAGTCAAATCCCTTACTTAACGTAAAATTAAACATAGAAGTACCGCAATGCAAAATAATTCTTGTAAAATTTGGTTCACTTTTATTTAAATTAAAGGTCCGATGTGCAACATTTAGGAGGATCTATGGCATAAATTTAATATTCACAGATATGTTTTAATTAGTGTGAATCGTTATGCTTTATACCTTAAAATGTATAATTTATCTAAAGAGAGAGTCCTCGTCTAGTCCACCTTGTTGCACTGCCATGTTTCTACAGTAGCCCAGAATGGAAAAACCAAACACTGCCTCTAGGTAGGGCCTTTTGCATTTTTTGCGAGTTGTATTTAGTTGGTTGCAATTTGCAATTTCACTGCGTAATACCACTAAATCCTACTCACTGGTCATTTAAAGCAACATTTAGCAACAATTTTACCTTAAAATAAAAACTTCAATATTATTTTTATGGCACAGTGATTTGTGCGAATTGTGCCTCATTCATTTACACTGGAACGTCTGCTCTTTCACTTTGTAACTTGGACTGAGCGAGTACAATTTCCTTCGGGAAAGTCCGTAGTGCTTTACAGCACTATGTCACACACAAGCGGCAACCTCCACGGCCGGCCAATGAAACCAACGTGGAAGTTACAAGATGGCCACTTGAGGTGAGCTACAGAAGTGAGTCAATCTTCATAAGGCCCCATATTAAAATGCACAACTTAATAGCAGAAAGCAACTTGTTTACAACATTTTCAGTCTTTATAGCTAAATTCCCCATTTATGACAAAGCTTTAGGTTATGCATAATTAAATGGCGTGGCTGATTTGAGCGACAGGTTCGTGCTGTCACAGCTGGTTGTTTTCAGGCTTCATCCAGCCTGTATTTGCATGCATTTTTTTGATTAGTAAGGAGCTGGCAGAGTCAGGACTGCCAAGATGGCAAAGGCCAGAGCCGACCACACAGGCTCTTCAGAAACCTATGGCCGATGTCCATTTTTAATTATACAGTCTATGGTCACATAGACTAGCAGGAATTAGCTGTTACTGAAGCAACAACTTGTTAGCATACAGTTTTGGGCTACTTCATTGTATTTTTGCACCATTGTACTCCGACCTGAACCGAACACAAATAAATATATGATGGAGAAACTCAACACAAGTAAATCTAATTGTTTATTGAAAATGTAAGTATATATTTTACTTTCACAGCTTGTGGCTGACTTTAAAAAACTTTCTTTCTTGAAGTTTGTTGAGTTCAAGGGTAACATCATGGTCAAAAAGAAGTTTCAGGCTCCGGGGCACAGTCTTGACAGTTTTCCAGTAAAGATCTTAAGGGGATCATGATGCAACAGCCATGAAGGGAAGTTTCCAGTGTAAGCTGAGAGGAGAGGTGTAGAGACTGGAGACGGCTGGAGACACCGTGAACTCTAAAGGGAGTTTGTTAAAGTTTGTTATGTTTGTGAGTGGGAAGAGCCTGAGGTGTAAGTCATGGTCATTGCTACAAACAACAATTTCTTTGTTAATTAAAGAGGGCCTAAGAGGCATATCAGCTGGCTGAAAAATAACAATAACATCAAATTAAATATGACTTGGTCCAATGCGTTGTTAAATCAGGTATGTCGAATTGTATATTTTGATTAGTTATTGAAAGTGTAACTTTAATTTTCTTATCCAAGCACAGAAGTCACTGAAAATGATGTAATAATAGAAAATAATACATAATACTAAGAAAATAATAGGAAATGAAATATAAATGTGCCAAGATCATTTTACAGTAATTTAAGGTTGAGGATAATCATTGTTTAAACACACAGATATTTAAAATCATTGATTTAAAAATATAAGAATCATTCACAATCAACATCACATTAGTGGGTACATTCAAAAAACCTCCGTCATAATTCAGATTTTTTATTATTTAGTTTTGATTTGTATCTCTTAGTTATTTATATTTTCAGAAAAATTGTGAGTAGCTGATATTCATAAAAAAAAATATCTGTGTGTAATTAACACACCTAAGGTATTGTGGATTACAGCACTTCTGTCCAAAACTACAAAATACTAATGTGTGAGTTACAGAGTTTTTCATTTGCCTATTTTGGAGAATAAAAAACAAACCCTGCATGTCTGTTAACATGATCAAATTCTAAATAAATATAAATAACAAAAAGGATGGACACTGGTGTACCTCCATTAGCATTAAATTCCTTCCCATGCTGGCTGTGTTTTAGGACCACAATGCATTATATTAGTCAAATCCCTTACTTAACGTAAAATTAAACATAGAAGTACCGCAATGCAAAATAATTCTTGTAAAATTTGGTTCAGTTTTATTTAAATTAAAGGTCCAATGTGCAACATTTAGGAGGATCTATGGCATAAATGTAATATTCACAGATATGTTTTAATTAGTGTGAATCGTTATGCTTTATACCTTTAAATGTATAATTTATCTACAGAGAGAGTCCTCTTCTAGTCCACCATGTTGCACTGCCATGTTTCTACAGTAGCCCAGAATGGAAAAACCAAACACTGCCTCTAGGTAGGGCCTTTTGCATTTTTTGCGAGTTGTATTTAGTTGGTTGCAATTTGCAATTTCACTGCGTAATACCACTAAATCCTACTCACTGGTCCTTTAAAGCAACATTTAGCAACAATTTTACCTTAAAATAAAAACTTCAATATTATTTTTATGGCACAGTGATTTGTGCGAATTGTGCCTCATTCATTTACGCTCGAACGTCTGCTCTTTCACTTTGTAACTTGGACTGAGCAAGTACAATTTCCTTCGGGAAAGTCCGTAGTGCTTTACAGCACTATGTCACACACAAGCGGCAACCTCCACGGCTGGCCAATGAAACCAACGTGGAAGTTACAAGATGGCCACTTGAGGTGAGCTACAGAAGTGAGTCAATCTTCATAAGGCCCCATATTAAAATGCCCAACTTTATAGCAGAAAGCAACCTGTTTACAACATTTTCAGTCTTTATAGCTAAATTCCCCATTTATGACAAAGCTTTAGGTTAGGCATAATTAAATGGCGTGGCTGATTTGATTGACAGGTTCGTGCCATCACAGCTGGTTGTTTTCAGGCTTCATCCAGCCTGTATTTGCATGCATTTTTTGATTAGTAAGGAGCTGGCGGAGTCAGGACTGCCAAGATGGCAAAGGCCAGAGCCGACCACACAGGCTCTTCAGGAACCTATGGCCGATGTCCATTTTAATTATACAGTCTATGGTCACTGAGACTAGCAGGAATTAGCTGTTACTGAAGCAACAAGTAAAGCTCTCATGAAACATAAAACATGACCCAGGTCAGATTCAGGTCAGAAACAAGCTGCAAAAAATACAAATTCTTGGATAATGCTACTTTCAAGTGCAGAAGTAAAAGTAATAATAATCGAGGATGTCCCCTTTCAGGCTGTTATTATAATTTTAAACTATATTGGATTGTTATTAATGATGCATGTATTTAAATTTTGCAATTGGTTATTGAGAACCTATTATTTTTCTGATTAACAATGCATCACATTTGTATAACTTAAATTTGTTGTATTAAACTTGATCTGCACAGTAAGAAGTGAGACACTTATTATGGCACAATAATTTCATAATATAATTTCATGGCAAGATACAATCAGGACTGCCCTATTTCCCTTATCTCTGATTGGTCGGTAGGAGGCAAATGAGCCCTGTCATCAACTAAGATTATAAAATATCACATTTAAGACTGCATTGGTTCTGATCTGACTGGGTGGTTCTGCCCCATCAGCAGATGACAGTGGAAAATGTCACAAGTGATAACCTGGCTGGTTTTCATGGGGCTCCTGTTAGCATTTGGAGCAGCGGAGGAGGGAGCTGCTTTCTGTCAGATACTGGGGAGTTCAGAGTTCCCTCTGCTGTCTAAAAAGGGAGATGTCATGATTGGTGGAGCCTTTTCCATCCACAGCAAAATCACTCAACCTCTACTTTCTTTTACAGAGAAACCAACACGTCTCACTTGTTCCAGGTAATTTTACCGCTGTTTAAAAATATTATATATTTTGTCACATTAAATTAGCAATTTTTAATGTTTTTTTGTTTCAGTGTCAACCCCAGGGAGTTTCGATTTGCCCAGACCATGATCTTTGCAATTGAGGAAATAAACAAAAGTGAATTTCTTCTTCCCAATGTTTCTATCGGATACCGTATTTATGACAACTGTGGCTCAACATTAACGTCAATGCGCGCAGTGATGGCCCTGATGAACGGTGATGAGTGGAGTGTGGGAAAGAGCTGTACTGGTCAATCAGCTGTTCATGCTATTATTGGGGAGTCTGAATCCTCTTCAACCATTGTGCTTTCACGCACTACTGGACCATTCAAAATACCAGTGGTAAGAGGGAAGTCTGTGTGTATCAATGTGTATATTATATGCAACCCTCCTTATTTTGCCTTTCTCTTTGTGTATTCTCAGATAAGTCATTCAGCTACTTGTGAGTGTTTAAGCAACAGGAAAGAGTATCCTTCTTTCTTTCGAACCATTGCCAGCGACCTCTACCAAAGCCGAGCCCTCGCCCAGCTAGTCAAGCATTTTGGCTGGACTTGGGTCGGAGCAGTCAACAGCGACAGTGACTATGGCAACAATGGTATGGCTATCTTCCTTGCTGCAGCTCAGGAGGAAGGAGTGTGTGTCGAGTATACAGAGAAATTTCATAGGGCAGAACCAGAAAAACTCAAGAAAGTGGTAGAAGTGATCAGAAAGAGCACTGCCCGGGTCATTGTTGGTTTCCTGGCCCATGTAGAGATGAACAACCTTCTACAGCAGTTGAGTCACCACAACATCACAGGCCTGCAATTTATTGGTGTGGAGGCCTGGATCACTGCTGACAGCCTTGTGACTCCCACCAGCTTTAGTGTGCTAGGAGGTTCACTGGGCTTTGCTGTACAAAAGGCCAATATCAGTGGCCTGGATGATTTTTTGATCAAAGATTTCTGGGAGACAGAGTTTGAGTGCAAGGAGACAAACCAGGACACGATGACAGAAACTTGTAGAGAAAAACAGGCTCTAATTGAGCTTAAAGATTATGATGATGATGTGGCAGAGTTGAGATACTCCAGCAACATCTACAATGCCATCTATGCTGTGGCTCATTCTCTGCACAGCATCCTAAAGTGCTCCAAAAGTCAGGGGTGTGAAAAGACTGCGAAGGTGTCTCCCTGGCAGGTAAAAATAACAGATTACTAAAATGTGTATTTTTTATTTCTGTAAATGAATATTTTGAGATATTATCTTAATGCATTTTAGGTGGTGGAGTCTTTGAAGCAAGTGAATTTTACCATTAAAAATGGGGACCAGGTGTCATTTGATAGCACTGGAGCAGCTGTGGCTCGGTATGAGGTGGTGAACTGGCAGCATGGATCAGATCGCTCAGTCCAGTTTAAACCTGTTGGCTACTACGATGCCTCCCTGCCTCCTGGACAGAAGTTTGTTCTCAAGACTGAAGCCATAATGTGGCCTGGAGGAAAGACAGAGGCAAATATAATTGACAATAATTTATGTAATGCTACGGTTTGCCTAAGCAATGCAGCTTGACAATATTTCATCTTGAATTATGGCTTAAAAAACTGTAATTTTCTTTTATTTAAAGTTGCCTGTGTCAGTGTGCAGTGAGAGCTGTCGTCCAGGAACTCACAAAGTCCTTCAGAAAGGAAAGCCAGTCTGCTGCTTTGACTGCATACCATGTGCAGAGGGAGAAATCAGCAACAGCACAGGTATATGTACAACAGACCAGGGATATGGCAATTTGCATACATTGTTTGCTTGCCACGCTCTGTGTATCATGTTAAGGTTCGCTATGCTGCTGTCTCCTATTCATGTTTTTAGGATGTAGCTAATTAAATTACAATAATATTGACAATATTTCTGTTACAGATTCTAATGACTGCAGTAAATGTCCTGAAGAGTATTGGTCCAATCAAAACAGAGATGCATGTGTACTCAAAAATGTTGAGTTCCTCTACTTCACTGAGGTTATGGGTATAATACTTGTATTTTTCACTTTGTTTGGTGTTCTCCTTACTTTAATTGTGGCCACTCTATTCTTGATCAATAAGAATACTCCCTTAGTGAAGGCCAACAACTCTGAGCTGAGCTTCCTGCTGCTCTTCTCATTGACTCTGTGTTTCCTGTGTTCTCTGACCTTCATAGGCCCACCCTCTGAGTGGTCCTGCATGCTGCGACACACAGCATTCGGCATCACCTTTGTCCTCTGTATCTCTTGTATTCTTGGGAAAACAATAGTGGTGTTAATGGCCTTTAAAGCGACACTTCCAGGCACTAATATGATGAAATGGTTTGGGCCTGCACAGCAGAGACTTAGTGTTCTGGGCTTCACTCTCATACAGGTTATAATTTGCATACTTTGGCTCACAATCAACCCTCCTTTTCCCTTCAAAAATATGAAACTCTATAAAGACAGGATTATACTAGAGTGCGCCCTGGGATCACCTGTGGGGTTCTGGGCTGTGTTAGGTTACATAGGACTCCTTGCTGTCCTATGTTTTATACTTGCTTTTTTGGCTCGAAAGTTACCCGATAATTTCAATGAAGCTAAATTTATCACCTTCAGCATGCTGATTTTCTGTGCTGTCTGGATCACTTTTATCCCAGCATATGTCAGCTCTCCTGGGAAGTTCACTGTGGCTGTGGAGATATTTGCTATTTTAGCCTCCAGTTATGGAATACTTTTTTGTATATTTGCACCAAAATGCTTTATCATTGTACTCAAACCTGAACTAAACACAAAGAAATATCTGATGGGAAAAATGCAATACAAGTAAATCTATATATAAAATTTAGAGGAAATGACAAATATATATTTTACTACATTTCACAATCTGTGGCTGTGAATACTATTCATTTACATATGACATTTTTTTATCTTTCCCCTTTCAAAATGTAGGTAAAAACAACAAAGCAACAAAATGTTTTCAATTCAACATGTTATTGTTGTTATGTTAAATGCTTACATTTTCATTTTAGATAATTTCATCATGTATTGAATCCTACCTATCTGGTCTACAATACGGACAGTTAAAAAACACTTACATTCCAAAAATCTTTTAATATTGGTATCAATAATAATTGTCTTTTACAATGAATTTGGTTCATAATTAAACTGAGGATGCACAGTATTAATCTTTGTTTTATTTCATATGAATAAAAAATATTTAAAATTATCGATGACTTCCTGTCTCTTCATTTTAACATGCACACTTAGGGCCTTAATGAATTAGCATCCTCACCTCTAATATGGCCATTACAAAAACAATCTAATGTGTTGGCCCCTGCATAGCTCCGATTAAGCAAGTTGGGAGTTAAAGGCCTTGCTCATGGGCACATTGGTGGTCTTTGGATTGAACTGGTGACCTACAATTTACAAGCAAGCATGTGTTATAATATTTTTACATATTATTTACTGAGCAAATATTCAGGGTTTCTTTCCAACATAGCACAGCTAGACTTAAGTCTGTAATATTATGTACACACCAGAAAAATATGAAATAAATCAAAACTGTTGGCTGGTTGAAAATTTGAGTCACACTTTTAATATTTTTAATAGGTTTCGGTCTAAGGTAGAGCAGAGGAAAGGCCTTGTTCTACTTAAATCAAAGTATTTATCTTCTGGACAGTGCTTAATTAGGTTTTCAGAACAAGCTTGTTTGGCTCAGAACTACTTAATTAAAATTACAGCAGTCTAAGCTTTATTTAATGTACTTCATTCAGGTCAGATATACTTAGGCTCAGCTGCACCCTGAGCATGCTAGCACATTAACATGCATGCGAACAATGCATGCTGATTTTTAACATTTAGCACGTTAGCATTCTTTAATTTCAGCTGTTCTTCTGTATTCAAATACAGCTACTTCTTTAATATGTACATTGAAGAACCAAAATCATACAGGATCATCTTGATCAGATTAAGGTACAAAACTATTATATGGTTAAAGTTAAGGAAAGATCATGGTTATGGCAAAGTGTGGTGAAATTGTGGTCATGGTTAAGCAACCAAAACATTTAGTTGAGGTTTGGAGAATATGCTGAATAATATTGATAAAAATATAAACATTAATGTCAGGTCTGTAACCAGTAGATCATTTTAGGGTGGATGCTATCCCCCCTGTTAGCAAAATGAACAAAATACATCCCCCTTGTTAACCTCTCTGTAAACTATGTACATACTACAAATAATCAACCCTATTCTATATTGTAGCCTATATACTCTATACACTAGTGTCACTTTCATATTTCTATGATCATTCAGTTGCATCTGTGCCAGGGCCAGATTATGGTCCTGTGAGGCCCCTGGGAACATATCTTTTGGGTGGACCCCCACAATTGAATTTTCAGACCAACGCAACCCTAGTACGTACCAAGGGGCCCAGGTGTTACTTACTCTCGATGTATGCACAAAATGGCCTCTGGACCCTAGTGGTCAACCCTCACACTGTAGGAGCCGAGGGGCCTCAGGGGTCAGATCGCACTTTAAACTCCAGTCGCCTAGGGGCTGTAGTAATCAGCTCACTCTTTAAACACCAAGGAGCCTGGAGGCCCTTGCACTGTAAGCACTGTGAGGTACGAGGGCCCAAGTGGTTAATTTACATGTTAAACACCAAGGATCTTGGGGCCCTCACATTGTAAGCATCAATAGGTCTGAAGGGCCTTAGTGGTGAGCACACATTTTAAACACCAAAGGGGCTTGGAATCCCTCACATTGTAAGCATTGGCATGCGGCCTGAGATGTGGAGGGCCCCCTGGTAGGCCCCCATCTCTGTAACAAAATATTTTAGGGGAGACATGACTACAGGTATAGTTTTTACTATAGGCATAGATTTGATGGAATGGTTGGGTGGGGTTAGGCAGGGTTATGGCCATCCCCCTGTTAAAAAAGAACATATCACTTACTGTCTTTAACAGGATCGACCCACTAAGTCTGACACAGAACATTGGCATTGTACGTAATTGTGTGGTGTAGAATCATCCAGTATAACTGGTACTGTTTACTGCCCCAAACAAACATGAGTGCTAATAGAAAAATATCCAGCTTCTACACAAACGTCTAATAACTCAATTTGCAAAAAAAAATATGTCCAAATGCTTTGTGCTACCCCAGATCACATCTTTCTTTTACAATTTACAGTAATAATAACATAATTATCTAAAATTATTATACCATCTTAAATGAAAAACAGAAAATGTGACATCATCAGACAGTGATTTGATAACAGGACTTCAACTGTCATCATTCACAGACGTATAAAGCGCGGCCCATTACAGGTGACACACGTTTCATTAAGTCATAGAAGAACTCGTCACAGAGAACAGGTTTGTGTGTGCCTGTTGTATCAGATGTGTGGCTGTATCTATGTAATGTTACTGTTTGTGCTTTTTATGGGAGCCTTTGGAGCAGAGGAAGACACTGCACTCTGTGAGAGGCTGGGCAGCACAGAGTTTCCTCTGCTATCTAAGGAAGGAGATATCACTATTGGAGGAGCTTTTTCCATCCACAGTCAAATTTCAAAGCCTTCACTCTCCTTTACAGATACTCCAGAGCATCTCATATGTTCCAGGTACTGTTTGTTGTGTTTGACATTGATGGTTTGTAAACGGAAAAAAGACACATCAAATTGAAACTATTACTTATTCTTTTCAGGATAAATTTCAGAGAATTTCGTTTTGTCCAAACAATGATTTTTGCCATTGAGGAGATCAACAATAGCAGCTCTCTGCTGCCTAATATCTCAATTGGTTATAAGGTATTTGACAGCTGTGGTTCAACACTGCCTTCAACGCGTGCAGTGATGGGTCTAATGAATGGACCGGAAAGGACTTTGGAAAAAACCTGTTCTAGCCCGTCATCTGTTCATGCCATCATTGGTGCCTCTGAGTCCTCCTCAACCATTGTGATGCTACAAATTTCAGGGATTTTCCAAATACCAGTGGTAAAGATTCATATTTGTGCTTCTTTTTTGATTTATTCCACTACGTTCCTTTTTCCAAAAGGCTTAATCACACTTTGTTTGGACACTCCAGAACTAATAATCAGTTTGCTATAAAATGACAACAAAGATACTAGAACAAAGTTATTCTTAGGGCTATGTGGTCAGGATTAAGTTTAAACAGATGCAGCAGATTTAGTCAAAAGTCATATCTTAAGTCAAACAATATTTGATCCCCATTCTGTCACTTAATACTCATCATACTCATCAGTCTCAGACAACTGAAGTGTTTTTTTTTTTGTTTCTCTCCTTTTCTTTTCTCTTAGATCAGCCACTTTGCCACTTGTGCCTGTCTGAGTAACAGAAAGGAGTACCCCTCCTTCTTCAGAACCATCCCTAGTGACTACTATCAGAGCCGAGCCTTGGCAAAACTTGTAAAACACTTTGGCTGGACATGGGTTGGGGCTGTTAGGAGTGACAATGACTATGGTAACAATGGCCTGGCAACATTTATCACAGCTGCGAGTCAGGAGGGAGTCTGTGTTGAATACTCAGAGGCCATCTCAAGGACTGACCCCGGTGAACAAGTTGCCAGGGTGGTCAGAGTGATCCAGAGCGGAAGTGCAAGGGTTTTAGTTGCCTTCCTTGCCCAGGGCGAGATGGACATTTTGCTTGAGGAAGCTCTGAAACAGAACTTGACTGGGCTGCAGTGGGTGGGCAGTGAGTCCTGGATTACAGCAAGTCATCTGGCCACTAAGAGGTACTCAGGAATCCTGACAGGGTCTCTGGGCTTTACCATCAGAAAGACAAAGATCACAGGCCTGCAAGAGTTTCTGTTGCAGGTTAACCCAAGTCAGGACCCTCAAAATAATCTGCTGAGAGAGTTCTGGGAAGCCACCTTTGGTTGCAGTTTCCAATCCAGCTTGCATGGTCAGACCCAGTGCTCTGGCTCTGAGAGACTACAGGACATCGACAATGCTTTCACAGATGTGTCAGAGCTGAGGATATCTAACAATGTGTATAAGGCTGTGCATGCTGTGGCTCATGCCATGCATAAAATGTTAACATGTGGACAAAGTGGTGAAGTGATGAATCAGTCATGTATCTGGAAAGGTGATTTTGAGCCAAAACAGGTAAGAGGTTGCGTTCATTAATTATGTAGATAATTTGAATACTTTAAGTTATTCACCACTGTTATCTATTGGTAGGTTGTGAAGCACCTCCAAGATGTGAATTTCACTCTGCCATCAGGAGAAAGAGTGTATTTTGATAGAAATGGAGACCCTGCAGCGACCTATGAGCTGGTCAACTGGCAGAAAAACCAAGCAGGAGATATTGTGTTTGTAGCTGTAGGGAGCTACGAAGCTTCTCTACCGAATGGAAAGCAGTTTACCATGAATGGAATAAACATAACATGGGCTGCCGAATCCCCACAGGTATCAAATTGTTATATACTATACTATATATATATATACGTGTGTGTGTGTGTGTGTGTGTGTGTGTGTGTGTGTGTGTGTGTGTGTGTGTGAATACTGTACATAGTAGTAGGAATTTTATTTCGGATGTAGACTGATGTGTAAGATCAAGGTAGAATACTTAAAGTATAGTTTTTTATACATCACCCAAATGCTGATTATAATAAACCAATTAAATTAAGTATTTGTATTACGGGAGCAACAAACTACAAGTAACAGATGAGTTGTGTTGTTGTTACAGAGGCCACAGTCTGTCTGTAGTGAGAGTTGCCTGCCAGGATTCCGGCAGGCTGTGATTAAAGGAAAACCCATCTGCTGTTTCTCCTGCATCACATGTGCTGCTGGAGACATCAGCAACTCAAGTAGTGAGTGGAATCTTTACTAACTGTAATCTATAATGTAATATTTCTACAAATCAGTGCTTTCCAGTGTCTCACCTATAACTCACTAAATACAGCCAGTCTTTATTTTAATGATAATTTTGTTAATGTTTACTGAGCTCTGCTCTCATAACTTGCAGCTTACAGCATGAACACATTTCAGTTTTCATGTTTTTCTGTTCAGATTCTGCAGAGTGCTCACGGTGTCCACTGGAGTACTGGTCAAATGAAGATCACAGCCAGTGTGTTCCAAAGGTGATCGAGTTCCTATCTTATGGAGAAACCATGGGGGCCCTCCTCACTGCTTTCTCATTGTTTGGAGCATGTTTAACACTCGTGGTGTCATGTGTCTTTTTTCGGTTTCGTCACACTCCTCTTGTTAAAGCCAGTAACTCTGAACTGAGCTTCCTGCTGCTCTTCTCCTTGATTCTGTGTTTCCTGTGTTCTCTGACCTTCATAGGCCGGCCCACTGAGTGGTCCTGCATGCTGCGCCACACAGCTTTTGGCATTACCTTTGCCTTATGCATGTCTTGTATCTTGGCTAAAACCGTAGCAGTGGTGACTGCCTTTAAGGCTAAAAGGCCAGCAAACACAGTTCCTCAGTGTTCTGCTCCACTTCAGAGGTCAAGTGTTCTCAGCTGTACTTTAATGCAGGTCTTAGTTTGCATGCTCTGGTTAACTCTTGCCCCGCCATTCCCTTACAAAAATACTGCTCATACCACTGAAAGGATTATTCTAGAGTGTGATTTAGGTTCGCCCATAGGGTTCTGGGCTGTGTTGGGGTACATAGGACTCCTGGCCCTGCTGTGCTTTATTCTTGCTTTTCTGGCTCGAAAGCTTCCTGATAATTTCAATGAAGCCAAATTCATCACATTCAGCATGCTGATATTCTGTGCAGTCTGGGTCACTTTTATCCCAGCGTATGTCAGCTCTCCTGGGAAGTACACTGTAGCTGTAGAGATATTTGCTATTCTGGCGTCAAGTTTTGGTTTACTTTTCTGTATCTTTGCTCCAAAATGTTATATTTTACTATTAAAACCAGAGAAAAATACTAAAAAACACATGATGGGGAGAAACCACTGAAAATTGCCATAGATGAGTATGCAGAATAGTAACATCACTAAACTTGCTATTTTAAATTTTATTTCTTTCATTAAAGGCTATGAATTGAACATCAGCATCTTTCTGTTTGAGATATGGTTTAATTCCAGCTATTTTCCACAGTATGATTCCCTTGTGACATAACTGATGTAGAAAATAAAGTTCAGCTCCTTGTTGAATGTAACAATGAGTAATGGAATAGTTTTGCCTAATTTGAGAGCAAAATTCTCTCCTTCACATGTTGGCTCAGTGTCCAATTTATTTTTCACCATTTAGTGTGAAATTAAAATTATAAATGAAATAAAATATACAGAACACAATAACATCTCAGATATCACTACAGACAGGCTCAGGTTTCTGAAATTCTTACCATTAGGAAAAAGTTATGCTAAAAACCCTTCAATAGGCCGAACCATCTGTCAGTCACACCACAAGCACTGTCATTGGTGGAGAGAAACACAATATGTACATATGGTGTACCCAAGCCCCTATGGCCTCGTCATACCTAAACCCTATAAAATGGTGAGAGTTTCGGTTTTATCTTCGGGCCTGGGGTGGTAAATATTGAGCTGAACAACTATGCTGCTGATAGCGGATATGCTACTTTTCCTTCTGGTTATCAGAGGAGGGAAGCCTATGTGTCAAACATATGGGACAAAAGAACAGTCTCAGTTTTCTAAGGAGGGAGACATCAACATTGGAGGCATTTTCTCCTTCCATCAGAATCCAGTCACTGTTGATCCAGCTCTTCAGGTCAACCCAGAAACAATCCAGTGTGAAGGGTAAGAGAGGGATAAAAAAAATGTATTACAGTTACAATATGTGTTGTTTATTCCTGTTTTAAGTTTATGTATTTTTATACATATTTTACTTTCCACAAATTGTACAATTTGGTCCCTCTCCTTTTTCCAGACTCGACCCAGGTGAGCTTCAGTATGCGTACACTATGATGTTTGCCATTAAGGAGATCAACAACAGCTCAGAGCTTCTGCCAGGAGTGACACTGGGTTACAGGATCTTTGATTCCTGCCCCAGTATCCCTCTGTCCATCAGGGCATCGCTAAACCTGATGAATAGGTATGAGAGTGGAGAAGACAGCTGTAATAAGCTCTCCAATGTGCATGCTGTCATAGGTGAAACCACATCCACCTCTACAATAGGTATTGCACGCACCATGGGACCCTTCCATATACCTGTGGTGAGTGTTGCGGGCATGCACACTCTCTGCACACATGAACTGTCAAGTAAATTTGTGTTGTTGAATGAGATGTAATATGATATGTGAACACATTTCATTATGTGTTATTAATATTAGGTATCAAAGACATCTCAAAATGTGCTATTTCTCTCTTTTACTTGTGTTTCAGATCAGTCATTCAGCCACTTGTGCATGTCTTAGCAACAGAAGAGACTATCCCTCTTTTTTCAGAACCATACCTAGTGACATTTATCAGAGTCAAGCCTTAGCAAAGCTTGTGAAACACTTTGGCTGGACATGGGTAGGAGCTATCAGAACTAATAGTGACTATGGGAATGGCGGCATGGCCACTTTCCTGGAAGCAGCAGAAAGGGAAGGTGTGTGTGTTGAGTACTCAGTGGCTATTTACAGAACTGATCCCAGGAAGTGGTTCTTAGAGGTAGTGGACATAATAAAGAAATCCACCTCTAAAGTAATAGTGGCATTTGCTGATGGCACAGACCTTGACATACTTATCAAGGAGCTTCATTCTCAGAATGTGACAGGATTGCAGTGGGTGGGCAGTGAGGGCTGGATCACATATCGCTATATTGCCTCTCCAGTCAACTACGCTGTGGTCCAGGGGGCAGTGGGCTTTGCAGCACTCAATGCACACATCCCTGGACTACAGGAGTTCCTGGCTAACAGCAGGCCCTCTACCACACTGGGAGACCAAGGACTGGTGGAGCTGTGGGAGACTGTGTTCAGCTGCACCCTGACTCCCCAAGGAGAGACCCAAGCTCAGGGTTCAGTTGCAGCCTGCACTGGGAAGGAGTCTCTGTGGGACACAAACACACGCTTCACAGATGTTTCAGATGCCAGTCTGCTGAATAATGTTTACAAGGCCACATATGCTGTCGCTCATGCATTGCACATGCTATTCACTTGCAAAGATGGACAGGGGCCTTTTGAGAACAATACTTGTGCTGATAGGGAGAATGTACAACCATGGCAGGTAAACATAAAGCATTCTGTGCCTAAATTAAAAGCACTGTATATGTTAATGATATATAACAACATCACTGTTCCCCTGCAGGTGCTGCATTACCTAACAAAGGTCAACTTCACCACTAAGATAGATGAAAATGTGTTCTTTGATGAGTTGGGGGACCCTGTGGCGCGTTATGCACTGGTAAATTGGCAGATGGATGAGACAGGTTACATACTCTTTCAGACCATTGGCTACTATGATGCCTCCCGGCCTGAGGGTCAGCAGTTTATGATGAATGGAGGTGTGAGCGCCGTCTGGGCAGGAGAGAATCTTGAGGTAAGGAAGTGTAGACAGCCTTTTTTAAATCTTATTTTGGACATTCCTTTCTTTTTATCTTTTAAAATGAGTTTATTACCATATTAACAGCATAATGAGACTGAAAGTTGTTATAAATATGTTTTTAATATTGTCACTGGGATGCAGGTACCAAGGTCTGTTTGCAGTGAGAGCTGTTTACCAGGGACCCGCCGGGCTTTTGTAAAGGGCAAACCTATCTGCTGTTTTGACTGCATCACCTGTGCTGACGGCAAGTTCAGCAACAGTACAAGTGAGACAGCAGGATTCCTAGCCTTTACTTTAGCTCTCATCGTGTTTCTGTTGGGCAAAATCACTCTCAGCACTTTACTGGTCTATCTGAAGATGTGTGTGCTGTACAGCCTAAACATATTTATGCTTTCAGATGCAGTGAAATGTGACAAATGTCCTCCCGAGTACAAGTCCAACGAAGAGAGGAATAACTGTGACTTGAAAGCAATTGAGTTCCTCACCTTCAGGGAACTGATGGGTATACTGTTGGTCACCTTTTCTGTCTTCGGTGCCTGCCTGGCGATGACTATAGCCTTGATATTTTTTCACTTCAGGCAGACTCCTATTGTCAGAGCCAACAACTCTGAGCTGAGCTTCCTGCTGCTCTTCTCATTGACTCTGTGTTTCCTGTGTTCTCTGACCTTCATCGGCCGGCCCTCTGAGTGGTCCTGCATGCTGCGACACACCGCATTCGGCATCACCTTTGTCCTTTGCATCTCTTGTGTTTTGGGGAAAACAATAGTGGTTTTAATGGCCTTCAGGGCCACACTTCCAGGTAGTAATATGATGAAATGGTTTGGGCCTGCACAGCAGAGGCTCAGTGTTCTGACTTTCACTGTCATACAAGTTTTGATTTGCATACTTTGGCTGACAATCAACCCTCCCTTTCCCTTCAAAAATATGAAACACTATAAAGACAAGATTATACTAGAGTGTGCGTTAGGATCACCTATAGGGTTCTGGGCTGTGTTAGGTTACATAGGACTCCTTGCTGTCCTTTGTTTTGTACTTGCTTTTTTGGCTCGAAAGCTGCCTGATAATTTCAATGAAGCTAAATTTATCACCTTCAGCATGCTGATATTCTGTGCAGTCTGGATCACCTTTATTCCAGCATATGCCAGCTCTCCTGGGAAATTCACTGTTGCTGTGGAGATATTTGCTATTCTGGCCTCCAGTTATGGAATGCTGTTTTGTATTTTTTTACCCAAGTGCTACATAATTTTATTAAAGCCTGAGAACAATACAAAGAAACATTTGATGGGTAAAGTGACTCCAAGAGCCCTATGAGTTATTTGTTAAATAACAGCAACAGCTGTATTGCAAAATAACCACCCCCCCCCCAACAATGGATTTTCAGGTCACAACTACGCCTGTTCATGAAAGTTTTCATGAAAAGCAGCAGATGTCTCTTTTCAACCTTGAGTTTATACCTTTATCACTGTCTGTGTGGTCCCAAGGTCAAGTATGACCCTCCATGTTGAATTTTCTTTTAATAATTAAGAATAAAATTAAAACTTATATGAAATGTGTGCTCTTTTTATGTTGTATTTCGGATATAAAAAAAAAATATTCATAGAGGTTTCAGTACAAAGCATACATATATCAGTAAACTATATAACAACAACACATTACAGAGACTTTATCATTTCAGAATGTATTCTGTGTAAGTTGATGTTTGAATGTATCAGGAAACAATAAACTCTTAATTAAACATAAAAATAATTACAATTCTTAGGCCTAAAGTCTTTCACTCATTTATCTAGAACCTGACACTGTAAAAAGTACGGAAGCTCTAAAGGGCCATGCATTCATACATTTTATTTCCTTTGTTTTCCCGTGATAACGAGTTAATTTTCTCGAGATCTCGGGATTTCAAAACTTTGTTTTCCCGAGATAACGATATAATTAATTTGAAATCTCGAGATAGCCAGAAATTATAGCCAGAAATTATTGAGCAAAGTGTTTTTACTGTAGCTCAAATATGATGAAATATTGAATCTGGAGGAATAAACATGGGACTTTTATTATTGAATTTCTCCACATTGGTGCAGTAGAAATGCTTGATATTAAGTAAACTTGCATATTTATATGTGTAGAAGTCAAATATACCATCCATAGCCAGGAATTGCAGAGCAATATGGCCCTTTAGGGCTTCTGTAAAAAAGACATATAGCCTACCTAGCCTTTTTTAAAGAGGCCCATTCAGAAAATCTCAGTGAGCTATAAAACTTTCTATATTTTGTCAGCTCATGCAGTCCATTCCTTGTTATTTACTTAAATACTTATTCATTTGTTTATATTTGTTTTACAGCTTCACCTTACTTATGAACACCCCAAATAAGCCAATATTATGGTAAATAACAATTAGTGTCAATTCCAATAGTGCTTAAAATACCTAAGAGACCCCAAGAGATCCAACTGAATACTGATCTGTCTACAGTACCACACTGACACCCACATACATCTATATATGTATACCATGTATACAAATTACTAAAGGCTGATTAACTGGGACCCATCTTATATTAAATACTGCATAAAACAGGAAAATTGGCATGATAAAAGAGGAAGGGGAAAACAAATAAAAAATGGAGTCTTTTGCGTAAGACAACAAGTGAATATTTTTATCTGATAACATTCATAAACATAGTTAACAAAAAATAAATAAATTAAAGACCAACTCTATTCTTCTGATTGAGCACCTCCCTCCCCTCACCCCAACTGTAAGTCCACTGAGATAAAACATCACTGTTCTAATACTATTTTCATGCTGCTCCAAAATGTATAAATATCCGTATACGATTTTAATTTGCATTAAGGTACATGTCATGCCACCCAGTGGTTTAACACTCTTAGACTCTATGACGTCCACACAGAGGTGGCCAGAGAAGGGTTGGGCACTCTTACAGCTGTTGTTGGTAGCGTCTTTCTCTCAGGGTGAGGAGCCGGTGTGCTGGCGGAGAGGGGATCCTGAGAACCCCCAGCTATCTAAGGATGGAGACATTGTGTTGGGGGGAGTCTTCTCTTTCCACACCAGCTGGAAAGACAGACAGGATACCTACATGCAAAAACCACTGCCACTGCAATGCACCAGGTAAATTATATTGTAAAAATATATTTAGATTTAAAATATCTAACATAAAGTAGGTACAGATAAATAACTGGTAAAAAATGTTATCAAACTGAGTATTAACATTAGAAATAATGTTTGTGGTATGAATTAATACAATCAATAGCTTTATTCATTACATTATTGTTTCTATTTTAAGGACAAATCCTTTGTAATTTCAACTATTTTAACTGTGTACATTAAGTTTCAATTTCAGAGAGTTCCAGTTTGCCCAGGCTATGCTCTTTGCCATAGAGGAGATTAATAACAGCACAGACCTACTGCCTGGCATCTCTCTGGGCTACAAGATCTATGATGTCTGTGGCTCCATTGCTAGAAGTGTGAGGGTCGCACTGGCCTTGGCTAATGGTAATGAAGAGGTATCTGCACCCTCTGAGTCACCATGTACCAAACCTGCCCAAGTGCAGGCCATTATGGGAGAGACCTCTTCCTCGCCTTGCAGGGCTATAGCTACTGTCATTGGACCCTTTCATATCCCACTGGTGGGTAAGATTGGTAAAAATAAAATTACATTTGTGAATGTTATTCTGTAATTCTTCCAGCTAGTCAAAGCAAATGGGTTTAAAATTTTAATGTGCTGTGTAAATGTTTAATATTTGATATCTTTATCTTGGGATATCATTTCTCTTTTATTTTAGATCAGTCACTATGCTACTTGTGCTTGTCTCAGTGATAAAACCAAGTACCCATCCTTCCTCAGAACAATACCCAGTGACTACTACCAGAGCAGAGCCCTGGCCCATTTGGTCAAGCACTTTGGTTGGACTTGGGTTGGAGCTATTAGAACAAATGATGATTACGGCAATAATGGTATGGCCATATTCACAGAAACCGCCCGGCAGCTGGGCATCTGTCTGGAGTACTCTGTATCTTTCTTCAGGACAGATCCACCAGAAAAAGTAAAACAAATCATTGACATTATCAAAGCTTCCACTTCTAAGGTGATTGTCACTTTCCTCTCCCACATGGATATAGACATACTAATACATGAGATGTCTCTCCACAACTTGACTGGGTACCAGTGGGTAGGTACTGAGGCCTGGATCTTTGATTTCCAAACTGCAGCCATGGATATGCATCACATTCTGGATGGTGCCATAGGCCTGTTCATCCCAAAAGCACAAGTCAGTGGCATGAGAGAGTTCATTTTGGATGTGGAGTCACTAAATTCATCCAGCAATGAATTGTTCACAGAGTTTTGGGAGACATTATTTAGCTGTAAGTTCAAGCAGTCATCAGCAGAAAATCAGAGAGAATGTACAGGACATGAAGATCTGACTGGAGTGCAAAACAGCTTCACTGATATGTCGCTCATGCCTATCTTTAACAATATCTATAAAGGAGTGTATGCTGTGGCTCACGCACTTCATAATATTCTCAACTGTAATAAAACATGTAACAGGAAGGTGCAGCTTGATCAATTTACGGTAAGTTGAACACCAAAGACTAAAATGCTTTTTATATTGAGTCATGTTAACAAAGAAAATTGTTTAGTATAATGGTTAATGGTTATTGGAAAATAAATTGTTGCAGTCTGTCATTCATGCTGTTCAGATAAACGTTTGATGATGATCTATGTAAATGCATATCTTCATAGATTTTACAACACATAAAAAATATTAAATTCAAAACAAAGGAAGGAGATGAGGTTTACTTTAATGAAAATGGAGATCCAGCAGCAAAGTATGAAATTATAAACTGGCAGCCAACAGAAAATGGCATTGTGAAGTTTGTCACAGTTGGTCTTTATGATGCATCTTTACCTGCAGAAAAACAGCTGAATCTGCAAAATAAGTCTTTATTTTGGGCAAAGAACTCACAACAGGTAAACTACCTCGTGATCACTGTAATTGATTGAAATTAATGAAAGTCTATCTGAATTGTAATAATTGATAAGGTGTTAGTTATTGTTATTGGATAATTATACTGTTTGGTTTAGATTAATAAAAAATAATAATAGATCCTTGCAGACAACACCTAATCAAAGTGAAAAAATCCAATTTTCTCATAGTTATTTTGTTCATGCAGGTTCCAGTGTCAGTTTGCAGTGAGAAATGTCCCCCAGGAACTCGCAAGGTTCTCCAGAAAGGAAAGCCTGTCTGCTGCTATGATTGTATCAGATGTGCAGAGGGAGAAGTCAGCAACATTACAGGTGTAGTAATATTAAGTGCCAAACAAAACAAAAGTCTAAAAGTTATCATCTTCACATGTTAATGTTAAAGGTTATCTTTCATGATAATACAATGTAGATGTCATAATGTTATCCATTTGTCAGCCGTTAATCCTGTACTGTCTGTCTCATAGGCACAGAAAAGATGCAACATAGAGACAACAAAGACAGATGTAGTGAGCAAGCCTAACACGTGTGTATTATTTTTCAGATTCTATCACCTGTGTGAGATGTGACCCTGAGTTCTGGTCAAATGAGAGAAGAGATGACTGTGTAAATAAGGAGGCAGAGTTTCTATCATATGAAGAGATTATGGGAGCACTGCTCACTGCAGCCTCTTTATTTGGAACATGCATGACAGCTGTTGTGGCATTCATTTTCTTCAGATACAGGAAAACACCTATTGTCAGAGCCAACAACTCTGAGCTGAGCTTCCTGCTGCTCTTCTCCTTGACTCTGTGTTTCCTGTGTTCTCTGACCTTCATCGGCCGGCCCTCTGAGTGGTCCTGCATGCTGCGACACACCGCATTCGGCATCACCTTTGTCCTCTGTATCTCTTGTGTTCTGGGGAAAACAATAGTGGTGTTAATGGCCTTCAGGGCCACACTTCCAGGCAGTAATTGGATGAAATGGTTTGGGCCTGCACAACAGAAACTCAGTGTTCTGGGTTTCACTCTAATACAAGTTGTCATATGTATCCTCTGGTTAACAATTTCCCCTCCTTTTCCATTTAAGAATTTTAAGGAGTTTAAGGACAAAATCATCTTTGAGTGTGCTCTGGGCTCAGCTGTAGGCTTTTGGGCTGTACTTGGGTACATCGGAGTTCTGGCCATGTTATGTTTTATTCTTGCTTTTCTGGCTCGGAAACTGCCTGATAATTTCAATGAAGCTAAATTCATCACATTCAGCATGCTGATATTCTGTGCAGTGTGGATCACTTTTATCCCAGCGTATGTCAGCTCTCCTGGAAAATTTAGTGTTGCTGTAGAGATATTTGCTATTCTGGCTTCAAGTTTTGGTCTGCTCATTTGTATTTTTATTCCCAAATGTTATATTATCTTACTGAAACCAGAAAAGAACACAAAAAAGAATATGATGGGTAAGGGGGCACCAAAACCTTCCTGAAAACTTAACACAATATGGTGGCAAAGGCATTCTATAGTCCCAGTTTAAGTTTTAGTTAATGAGTTAATAACCAGACTGTCAAGTAGATATCTATCTGCATTATTCGAAAGCCATGTATTGTACTACTGTAGTATTTATGCACTGTATATGATTTGATTTTTAATGTAGCATATTGAGATTACAGCACTTAATACAATGTAATACACAATCGTATCAACCAGTATATACTTAAGTACAAAGAAATGCATAAGCCGATTACCGGATTCCTTACAGATTTTACAAAAATGAATACAGTTTATAAAATTGTAATCAACGAATAAATCCATTGTTACACAGACAGACACACTTGTTTGGTTTCCTCTCTCCTGAGGCTTGAGTATAACCATGACAACTTCCCCTTTGTTGTTGCCCGAGGTTTTTACATTTTTACAGAGTTAACTTTCCCCGAGCTTCCTGCTTACAAAACCTCTGGGTCAAGAAATTTGGAATATATCATTCAAAATGGTGTACTTTAAAACAAGGTTTTGTATCTTTAACTATACCTTTGTAAACTTGTACAGTAATTGCTTTGCTGCAAGCTTGCATATACATACTTGCAGGCTAAACATTTTATTTTCTGTCTGAAAACTGTGTTTGTGTATTCAGTTACAGGCCTGCAAGTCTTTATTCACGAGCTGTGAGGCAAAAACACTCTTGCTTTCCTTTATTTTTGACATGTTTAATGCATATTGCACTTCCGGATATATTGCGCTTCAAGAAGGGGCAGGACCTTCGAAACTAATAGGCTTTCTTGGAGTGGCAACAGCAAATCCAATTGGTTTGGCTGTTCAGTCAATCAAAATATCAGTCGACAACTTGCCAGCTGCTAGACTCCAGAATGAATTACATTGAAAGTGGAAAAAATAAAGAATATATAGGCCACATAATGTAAGCATGATGTTAGCATAGGCTAGAGTTTCGTAACAAACACATTAAAGATCGCTCAATACAGAAAAAAGAAACATTCACAGGTGAAATGTAGTGTTTGGGCCACGATCTCAAGTAAATATAACTGTAGGTTATGCCAGCATAAAGCAGCTATAAATGAAGGTTAAGTTAGTTTACAGGAAAATAGTTGGTTAAACTAACACCATGGTAGCATTATTGGGTTCTTGATAGAATCGAAATTATGTGGGTTGCTCTGGAGGTCGGCAATGAGGCTAAAAAGCTGCTGGGACACCAGAGGATTTGGCTCCAGGTCGGGGAAAGTTGCTGCATAAACCATTGGTGTCAGGGCCGTAGGCCGGCGGCTAGATTCTAAAGAGCAGAACCAGAAGCAGGTGGCTCAAATGCAGGACTGGAGACTAGTGCTGTCAAAATTGGACAAAAATGACTTCCGATAATTTGTTCTAAAAGTCATTTAGGTTCAACCAAGATAATTACCTTCTATATGCTTAAATGTACACTAATTATGCTCAAGCACTCATAGCATCTTTTGGTGACCTTGTCGCTAACTCCACAGTTGTTTAAATTTAACTAATTTCAAATGGGGATTACTCTCACTGTAACCAAGTTGGGTTGGGCACTTTCTGCAATCATCTGCCATCTGCCAGTGTAGTCATTGAATTGTCGCTTGTTTCAGCTTGACCTACGTTTTATTTTCTCCCCCACAACTGATTATTCATTTTCATAATTTTTATATTTTTTCCAAATTTATTATACAATCAAATATAGGATATTTGTCGACAGCCCTACTGGAGACCGGTGGCTGGAGAGCATGAAGATTAGTTTTCTCTCCTTAGCTTCCTCTGTCGTCCTCTTAGGTCTCCTCGTCTCTGCCATTAACGCTGCTTCATCAGCATCCCCATCACCATTCACCCTATTACAACTCGATTCACCATCTCAAAATGACTTTGAAGCTGTTATTTTAAGGTAGAACGATTATATAATGTTGCTTTAATGTGCAAATGTTAATGTAAAAAAGTGAAATGAAAAAAAAAAAAAACTATTATGAATGTTCCTATCTGATAACATATATAGTTAAGATGTTTGAAAAATGGTAAGGCCCAAAACTGTTTTTCTGTTTGGGCACCTCCCTCTTCTTAACCCACCTGGTATGTCCACAGAGATGAAACATCACAATTCAATTATTATTTTTTATGGTGCTCCAAAATGTATAAATATCACTGCAAGTTTTTGACTTAACTCTCTTGGACAGTATGACGTGCACACAGAGGTGGCCAGAGCAGGGCTGGGCACTCTTACAGCTGTTTCTGGTAGTGTCTTTCTCTCAGGCTGAGGAGCCGGTATGTAGGCAGAGAGGGGGTCCTGAGAACCCCCAGCTATCAAAGGATGGGGACATTATATTTGGGGGAATCTTCTCCTTCCACAGCAGGTGGAAAGACAGACAGGATACTTACATGCACAAACCACTGCCACTGCAATGCACCAGGTAAATTATATTGAAAAAATCCTTTTAGATTTTAGATATCTAAGACAAAACAGACACAGAAAATCTTATTAAACTAAGTATTAAAATAAGAAGTATGCCTTACTATTTGTATTAACACTAAGTAATACTTTAATTTCTTATGCTATTGTTTATTTCCTAAGGACAAATTGGTTACATTTATAACTATTTATAACTGTCTGCATCAAGTTTGAATTTCAGAGGGTTCCAGTATACCCAGGCTATGCTCTTTGCCATAGAGGAAATAAATAACAGCACAGACCTACTGCCTGGCATCTCTCTCGGCTATCAGATCTACGATGCCTGTGCATCCATTGCCAGAGCTGTGAGGGTCGCACTGGCCTTGGCTAATGGTAATGAAATTATATCTGCACCCTCAGAGGCACCATGTACCAGACCTGCCCAAGTACAGTCCATTATGGGAGAGACCTTTTCCTCTCCCTGCATGGCTATAGCTACTGTCATCGGACCCTTTCATATCCCACTGGTAGGTAAGACTGGTAAAATTGAATGAAATGTGTGTAATTCTTGCAGTTGGTCATAAAATCGGTTTTAAATAATTGTAGTGTACTGTGTCAGTGTTTAATAATTTACATATTTACTTCGGGATATCATTTCTTTTTTCTTTTAGATCAGCCACTTTGCAACTTGTGCTTGTCTCAGTGATAAAACCAAGTACCCATCCTTCCTCAGAACAATACCCAGTGACTACTACCAGAGCAGAGCCCTGGCCCATTTGGTCAAGCACTTTGGTTGGACTTGGATTGGAGCTATTAGAGCAAATGATGATTACGGCAATAGTGGTATGGCCACATTCACAGAAACTGCCCAGCAGCTGGGCATCTGTTTGGAGTACTCTGTATCTGTCTTTAGAACAGATCCACCAGTTAAAATACAACAGATAATTGACATTATCAAGACTTCCACTACAAAAGTGATTGTCACTTTCCTCTCCCCCACGGAGTTGTATGTGATAATACACGGGTTGGCTCAACACAACTTGACTGGGTACCAGTGGGTAGGTACTGAGGCCTGGATCTTTGATTTCCAAACTGCAACCATGGATATGCATCACATTCTGGATGGTGCCATAGGCCTGTCCATCCCTACAGCTCATGTCAGTGGAATGAGAGAGTTCATGTTGAATGTGAAGCCGCTCAAATCATCAAGGAATGAATTGTTTACAGAGTTTTGGGAGACATTATTTAGCTGTAAGTTCAAGCAGTCAAAGTCATCAACAGAAAATCAGAGTGAATGTACTGGACATGAAGATCTGACTGGAGTGCAAAACAGCTACACTGATATGTCACTCATGCCTATATTTTACAATGTCTATAAAGGAGTGTATGCTGTGGCCCATGCACTTCATAATATTCTCAGCTGTAAAAAAACATGTAACACCAAGGTGCAGCTCGATCCATTTATGGTGAGTTGAAAACCAAAGACTTGAATTATCGTTTTTATATTAGGTCACATTAACAAAGAACATGATCGTTATTTTTGAAAAAAATATTTGTTGTTTGTTTATAAAAATGTTACAATAACAATAGACCTGGTCAGATACTAATCTACACTGATACATATTTTGTTAGATTTTACAGCACATACGAAAAATTAAATTCAAAACAAAGGAAGGAGATGAGGTTTACTTTAATGAGTATGGAGACCCAGCAGCAAAGTATGAAATTATAAACTGGCAGCCAACAGAAAATGGCATTGTGGACTTTGTTACAGTTGGTCTTTATGATGCATCTTTACCTGCAGACAAACAGCTGAATCTGCAAAATAAGTCTTTAATTTGGGCACAGAACTCACAACAGGTAAACTACCATGTGATCACTGCATTTGTTAATGAAAATGATTTTGAATTGTTATAACTGTATAAGTTTTTAGTTATTGTTATTGCATAATCATAATGTTAGGGCCTTGTAAAGACAACACCTTATCGAAGTCAATTTTTCTCATAATAGTTTTGTTCATGCAGGTGCCAGTGTCAGTTTGCAGTGAAAAATGTCCCCCAGGAACACGCAAGGTTCTCCAGAAAGGAAAGCCTATCTGTTGCTATGACTGTTTAAGATGTGCAGAGGGAGAAATAAGCAATGTCACAGGTGTAGTATATTAATTGCCAAACAAAAGAAAAGTCTAAAAGTTTTCATGTTCTCATGTCAATGTTAAAGATCCAGTGTGTAACATTTAGGAGGATCTAGTGGCAGAAATGGAATATAATATTCACAGGTACATTTTTTATTATTGTATAACCACCTGACCGTCAAAAAATCTATTGTTCTAGAGGTGTTTTCCTGGGAAATAAAAAACCATCCCCTAGTGACTAACAAATGTGTGTTAAATTTGACTAGTGTATATAATAGCCTGACAATAAGGATCATTATGCTTTCTATATCTTATAATGAGCCTTTTATATGTACAGTAGCCAACTTCCATGGAGACTGCCACGTTTCTAAAGTAGCCCAGAACGGACAAACCAAACACTTCTTCTAGCTACAACCATTTGCATTCTTCACATGCTTTGTGGCCACTATAGTTTCTCCTTTGTGAGGAAGTTGCAATCTGCAACTACACCGCTAGATGCCACTAAATCCTACACACTGGTCCATACCAAAAATCTATATCATTACATCAAAAATCCTAAACAAAGTCTGAAATCAGCTACATAAATTAGATTCAGATTCATATCAAGCCCCGATGGCAAATATTTATGTAAATCAAGTGTATTAAAAATTACTCTATCTGATCTCTCCACTCTGTTACATATTTTATTTGTCAGGGGAATGATCCCCCTGCTAAAACACTCTGACACTGACATTGGTAGTAGAGTAGATAGACTGTTTTGAAACAATTTTGATAAAGAATATATGGTTACAATGTAACATT